TTGTTAGTCCCATACTAATCACATGTTTATGGAACACACCATTAGGCAATCCTTTTGTGAGTGGATCAGCTATCATGTCGTTTGTGCTGATATGATCTAATGTAGTGTATCCATCTCTTATTTTCTCCTTGACAGTAAAGAACTTAACTTCTAGGATTCTTGAAGCTTTGGTCCTTTTGTTCCCTTTTGCAAAAAGGACTGTTGCACTGTTGTCATTCCAAAGTTGTATAGGTCTGTCAATTGACTCAACCACATTTAGACTAGAGATAAAGTTCTTTAACCACATAGCTTGAGAGGTTGCTTCATAACAGGCTAGAAATTCAGCCAACATAGTTGAAGCAACTGTGAGAGGTTGTTTGATGCTTCTCCATGATATTGCAGCTCCTGCAAAACGAAAAACAAAACCTGATGTTGATTTTAGATCATCTTTGCATCCTGCAAAGTCTGCATCTGCAAAACCTTCCAATTCCAATCTGTCACTTCTTTTAAAAACCAACTTATAACTCTTTGTCCTCTGCAGATATCGCATAACTCTCTTACCTGCAATCCAGTGAGCTTGTCCAGGATTTGATTGGAATCTTCCCAATACACTTATAGGAAATGCTATATCTGGTCTTGTGCAGACCTGCGCATACATTAGACTCCCTACCAGAGAGGCATAAGGCTTGTCAGCCATCTCCAACTTTTCTTGATCAGTTTTAGGTGCTTGGTCTCTACTGAACTTGTCTCCCTTCGAAATAGGCACATCTGTGCCTGCACAATCTTGCATATTAAACCTATTTAATATCTTTTCTATGTAAGCTTTCTGTGAGAGACCTAGCAGACCCTTGCTTCTGTCTCTACTTATCTCAATTCCCAATACATAAGAGGCTTCTCCCAGATCAGTCATGTCAAAATGCTTAGCAAGGAATGCTTTGCAGTCATGCAACATTGACATATTAGTGCAAGCTAACAATATGTCATCAACATAGAGAACTAGAATTATGAAATGACTCTTACTCCTCTTCATGTAAATGCATTCATCCAAGATATTTTCTGTGAAACCATATTGCTTAACAACTTCATTGAACCTTATATACCACTGTCTTGATGCTTGTTTGAGGCCATAAATCGATTTACATAGCCTGCAAACCAGATTTTCTCCCTTCTCTTGAATAAAACCTTCTGGTTGTTGCATGTAGATTTCCTCCTCTAGGTTTCCATTCAAGAATGCAGTCTTTACATCCATCTGGTGTAACTGTAAATCAAAATGAGCTACAAGTGCCATTATGACTCGAAATGAGTCTTTGGTTGAGACTGGGGAGTAGGTCTCATTGTAGTCAATTCCTTCTTGTTGTGTGAATCCTTTGGCAACTAGTCTTGCCTTAAATCTGTCAATCTGTCCCTTTGAGTCTCTTTTGGTTTTGAAAACCCACTTGCAACCTATTGGTTTGCATCCCTTTGGTAAAGGCACTAATTCCCAAACTTTATTCTTTTCCATAGAGCTTAATTCTGACTTCATAGCAGCCCACCAATTTTCACATTTCTCACTCATCATAGCTTGCTTGAAATTAATGGGATCTTCTATACCATTCACATCGTTTTCAGATTCTTGGAGATAGACATGATAGTCATCATGTAAGGCTCTTTTCCTTGGTCTCTGTGATCTTCTCAGTTCCAAGTTTAACTGTGCATTATTTTCTACTTCTGCATTCTCAGTTTCTGGTTGCATGATTTGCTGTTCTTGAACTTGATCTGCTGTTGTCTGTTCTTCTGCATCAGTTTGGTTGTCACTCAGGTTTAAACTTGGTAGGATCACAATTTCACTTTGTGTGTTTGTTTCAACAGAATTCTCAACTTCTGTTATCACTTCATCAAACTCAAAACTTTTATCTTCAATTCTTTCATCTTCAGATTCTATGAACACTGCTCTCTGTGTTTCCACAAACCTGGTTGTGTTTTTGGGACAATAGAACCTGTATCCCTTTGTTTTATCCGGATATCCAATGAAATAACCACTTGTAGTTCTTGAGTCCAATTTCTTTTCCATAGGGTTATAAAGCTTGGCTTCGGCTTTGCATCCCCATACCTTTAAATGGTTTAGGCTTGGTTTCCTTTTGTTCCAGATTTCATAGGGAATTTTGTTCACACTTTTGGTTGGAACCCGATTAAGTATGTAATTGGCTGTTTTCAGTGCTTCTCCCCACAAGAACATAGGTAGATTTGTGCAACACATCATACTCCTAATCATATCCTTCAATGTTCTGTTTCTTCTCTCTGCGATGCCATTTTGCTGTGGTGTTCCTGGATTTGTGTATTGAGCAATTATCCCTTCTTGTTGCAGAAATTTGGCAAATGGTCCAAGGTTTCTTCCACTTTCATCAAATCTCCCATAAAACTCCCCTCCTCTATCAGACCTTACAACTTTGATTTTTAGGTCTAGTTGGTTTTCTACTTCAGCCTTGTAGATTTTGAACATGTCCAAAGAGCTGGATTTTTCTTTGATCAGAAAAACATGTCCATACCTTGAGTAATCATCTGTAAAGGTGATGAAATAGTTAAACCCTTCATGAGTTGAAGTTGGAAATGGACCACATATGTCTGTATGGATTAATTCTAGAACACTTTGACTTCCCACAGCTCCTTTCTTTCTCAAGTTAGTTAATTTCCCTTTTACACATTCAATGCAGACTTCATCTATATCAAAATTCAATGGTGGTAGAACTAATTCTTTGCATAAGGTTTTCATTCTTTCCTTTGATATATGTCCAAGCCTTTTATGCCATGTTTTAAAGTTTTCTGTTTTGATCGGATTGGATTGGATGACATTGATTTCCATTTCTGCTGTTTTGCAATTCAATCGAAACAAGTTATCAACAATACTTGCTTTTCCAACTATCTCTTTATTTCTGACAATAGAACAACCAAAATCATCAAAGTTCAAAGTGAACTTTGATTTTACAAGCCTAGTAACTGAGATCAGGTTTTTCCTTATAGTAGGAATGTAAACCACATCTTCTAATTCCAAAATAAAACCAAAATCTAATTCAAGCCTAACTACTCCAATGAAGTCTACTTTAACTCTAACTCCATTGCCTACGAACACCTTCACTTCATCCTTGCTTGGCAGCCTCCTCCTTGTTAACCCCTGCAAAGAATTAGTCACATGAATGCTTGCACCACTGTCTAACCACCATGAATTATCTGGGATATTAACTAGATTAGATTCAAAACAAACTAGAACTTGATCTTTCTTACCTTTAGCCTGTTGCTTATCCAACCATTTCTTGTATTTCCTGCAATCCTTCTTCATATGCCCATTTTTCTTGCAGAAAAAGCACTTTAGTCCCACTGGTTTCAAGGCCTTTAAACTATTATTCTCCTTTTCCTTTTCTCTTCCAGCAGCAGCTCCTTTGTTCTTAAATTCCAGATTTTGTTTGGTTTGAACCAGATTCACCATCCTAGCACCTCTTTCTTTTATGATATTGATTTCCTGCTGAACACTTATGGTTATGAGGTCATTCAGTGTCCAATTTTCCTTTTGAGCTATATATGTATCTTTGAGAGACTTAAACTCCTTAGGCAGTGAATTCAAAGCAAAGTGCACCATCATATCCTCATCCACATTCATTTTCAATTCCTGCAACTTAGTCCCTATGTCGATCAGATTCATAATGTGAGCTCTAACACAGCCTTTTCCATCATATTTCATGTCTGTCAGTTGACTCAGCAAGGTACTCTTAACAACTTTCTCTGATTCCTTGAACCTTTGTGCAATAGATTCATAATACTCCTTAGCATGCTCAGATTTAGGGATGCTTCCTTTTACAGATGGAGCCATAGCTCTCTGCATAATCAACATGGTCAATTTGTTTGCCTTTTCCCATCTAGCAAACTTGGTTTTGACTTCTGTAGAGGCATCTGTAGCTGGGGCTTGAGGTGGGTTTTCTTTGAGGACAAAATCATAATCCAGAAATCCCAAAGAGATTTCCAGGTCTTGTTTCCACTTTTGGTAATTCGATCCAGTTAAAGTTACAATGGACTGATAGCTTGAGGAATTAACTGAAACATAATAATAAAATAAATGAACTGTCCCCAATAAATCTTTACTTAAACATTATCAATTTATACCTGTAGGTTATAAACTGAACATGTTCCAAAACACTGGAAATTATTAGGTCTGAATAAACACCTTGTGCAAGAAACTTCTTATCTGTGGATCAAGAAATTTCTTGCAGTTTACACAGTCCTTTTCCATGTTGTTCCATCACAATTGTCATCAATCTGTGCCTTTTCCATCTGTGGATGAAATCAACACAGAAGGCTACGAATTGTGATGCAATTCTTGATCAATCTATTGATTGAAACTGCTGCTGTACCAATTAAACTGCTGTGGCTCGTTCAACTGTTGCAGCTGTAATTTCAGTCTTTGATCAAAAGTCTTATAAGCATGATCGAGCAGAAAACTTGATGCTCTTAATCAAAACTTGATCAAACAGATATGCAATTAGTTTTAAATACATGCTTTATGACTAATGATCAACTAGAAGCTTTAAACGTGATGCAGATTTTATAAAATTCGAAAGATTAGATTATAGAACAAGACCTAGTGCTCTGATACCACATGTAAGTTATTTCAAGTCTTTATTCAATAATACTAACCTTGATCAGACATGGCTTCAGTAGGTAGGATAGAGATCTTCTTCTTCTATGCAGTCCTTAAGCTCTTTCTCTTATGGGGTGAGATTTCTGTATGAGTATGTATATCGACTGATAGAGAAGGGACCTCTATTTATATGCATTTACTTAAGTTTCCTGCCCATTAAGAAATACTTAAGCAATCCAGATTGCATTAGGATAGTGTGTTTCAATCCATATAGAATTAGGAATTCTCTAAGTTCTTTTCTTATTAAAACACTCTCTAGAAAAAGAACCGCAGATAATGTTTAAGTTTGCACTCCTAGATCATGTGAATTGCCAAATCCTTATAGGATTAGAAGACCACATTTACGTAAGACAAGTTATTGTCTTACAACCCAATCAGAATGGAAGTTCAAAACTAGCGAGTTAGAGGATAAATCCAAAGTCTTTAACATGGAAAGTTGGGAAAAATGAGTCTCTGAAATCTCTCCTTCCAAAGAATTCATACCGAGGTTCATATAAACCAGTTTGGACATTTGTCCAATACTTTCAGGTAGTCTCCCGCTTAATCGATTTCCATAGAGACCTAATTCTCTCAATGACATATTCCCAATACTTTCAGGCAATCTTCCGGTTAATTGATTTCCAGATACGTGTAAATATGTCAACCGTACCATTTTCTCAATACTTTCGGGTAAGCTTCCGCTTAATCGATTGTCAGAGAGATCCAAAAAATCTAATGAGTTTTGAGCACATTTAGACAACATTTGAATGAGCTCCGAAAATTGTCCAGTGAGATTATTATTCGAAAGAACCAATGTTTGCAAACTACATAACTTGGAAAAGGAATTTGGGAACCCTCCTTTGAATTGGTTTTCCCAGAGGTTAAGGACTCTCAGAGAGCTCATGTTGCCCCAAACATCAGGGACTGAACCTACACTTCAAAAACGGTTGTTAATTAGGTTGACATATAATTGGCCAAAAAAAAAAAAGAGGTCGACATATAGTTTGCACAATATATAGTGGTTTTGATATAGAGATGAACAGTAGCATGAGATTTTGGAGTATTTTATGTAAGAAAAAGACCAACTCAATCATATTTATTTAGGACAAATCATGATACCTTGCAAAGACTGGTTAAAAAGCTGGAGTTCAATTACATGGCCAGTTAGATTGCACTCGACTCCTTTCCATGTGCAACAATCTTCATTTTGGACTTCTGAGCTTCCCCAGGAAGAGAGTTGATTGTCGGTATCCACGATGCCTTGTTTGAATGCAAGGAGTGCTTCCCTTTCCCTCTCTATGCATCCAATGGAAGGATTATTCATGTGCAGCAACAAAAGCAGCACCAGAAATGCATGAAGGAACTTGAACTCGAAGCATCTTGCGTCGACCATGTTTAGTAAAATCAAGATCAAGAAGAGAGGAGGAAGAAGCAGAAGTACTAGTAATGAAAATGAAGGATGACCTAAACCCTATATACTTGTAAGTTATATATGTGCGTCACACCCACATGATACAGTAATAACAATTTAAATGAAATTGTAATGATCATCATCACATATAATTTGGAATTTTATCTACCAAACCAAAACCCCACATCTTTAGCACGTGAAAACCAAATAAGGGTGGAATGGTTACCAAATTTTCTCCTCCCTATATCTACGTGACTTTATCTTTCTGAGCTGCCAATTTGGACGCCATACGTACATATGTGTCATTTGATTATTTCATGTGACCATACTGTTGCCATTATTGTCTTCCACCTCAAATTTCTCCTTGACTGAAGCAAACAAGTAATGGACACAAGCCACAAGGAGAAGCTAGCAACAGGTGACCAAAACAGAGCCACATATTCACCAAACAGGACCGCCAGCAATGACGTGCGCTTCTGCTAGGAATTGAATGCATCTTGGAATTATTAATTTGGAACGCGTAAAATTGATTGACTTTGTAGTTAATTCCTTGCTACTATTCTTGGTTTCTTATTATTGGTTCTAAATGTTGTTGCCTTTGGTTGTGTTTATGATTTTTGTTCTAATATTTCATATGCTGCAAGTCTTCAACCCACAAAGAGTGTCCAATTATGAACATAGGATTTTCCTTATTTCCACAAGTGCATTAATGGATGAGTAGACTTGTGGAAATAAATGGATGAGAGAAGACTTGTGGAAGTTTCGTATTGGAAGATTGAATGCATGAGTGGCTCATAACCTGTAAAATTGTTTTTATCAAAAACACTTTTTTATTCGGTTCGCCCGTACGTTTCATAGGGCCAAGGTTAAGCTTTGTTTTATGTGGTTCCGACAAGCTGGTCACCTTAACCAGTCATACCCATTTATGGAGATTCAGGATTGCCTACTGCAGAATTATGGGCCTAAATCATTCTTAATCTTAACATCAAAACAGTAATCGGCAATGGACCAAGATTACGAGCAACAAGTTAACTGTCTTTGCCAAACTTTATACCCAACTAGGTTATTCCAGTCCACCGAGGTATATTATATTGAACTCTCTAAAGTCCCTTTTTTTTTTTGGTAACACTCTAAAGTCCCTTTTTACCAAAAGAACAATTGTGCCTAAATAGAAAATCACTAAAGCCCCTTTATATTCTAAAATAATTTTACCAAAACCACATTTTTCAAAAGGGAATTATATTTTTGAAGTGGGATGTTGCTGGTATGCAAAAAAGAAGAGCATGCATTAATTTTTGAAACATCCTTTCGACTTGAGATCGGATTCTTTCCTATCTTTGTAACGTGTTTGAGATATTCATACAGACAGAAGATCAAAACCAGAGTCATACATTTATTCAAGATAAAACATGAAAAAGGACTACAATATATCATTTATCTACTACTACTAGCTACTACTAGAAATTAAGTTCGACACTAATTTCCAAGATGCAAGTGGCCAGGAAGTAACTTGAGTTAAGTAATTGAATAAATTTTGGAATTATCCAAATCAGATAATTACATTTTTATTATTCTTCTTTATATATATATATGAAGAATGAATTTGTGATCAGTGGACAAGATTTTGGGTCATTAAAAATAAGAAAGAAATGAGAAAGTGATGAATATATAGGTGAAGATTCAAGTCAATATCAGGCACAATTGTTACCTATAATACATATTAGTGGATTCATTATGCAATATCAAATCAATTGGCCTTTGTTTACCATTCGTAAATTTGGCAGGAACATAGAAAGCCAGAACATTTTATGGCAAACAGTTGATTCGCAAGTGCAAATATGTGAAGTTGTGATTATCAACAACTTTTGAACTCATCTCCTAAAGGGCGTTATCCATATCAAATCTACCAAAGAACAGTGAATCTGAGTATTTTAAAAGACAATCTATGACCCAAATTATAGCTCCTCGATTAAGAGGGCAAAGCTTACGAAGTTGTAGGCTTGCTCTACTCAGGTAGCTTTTGCATGCTGCGTTATATTATGCGGGACGCTTGTCCTTCCCAATATAATGCCAACATTGTGCTAGCCCATATATAGAAGTATTCTTTTCTTTCACATATTTAGATGTGCCACCTTTGATTTCACTTCAATATCCTGAATGTGGAATTGCTTCAGATAAGGTTCGTGTAAGTAACATATTCAAGTAATCCTCAAAATACCCATTGGCAAGAAATTTTTCCTGATTGAAACAACTATAACCCAAAACAAATGGTTTATAAACTTCAAATGTCTCTTGGAGGAAAAGAGAGATAAAAGACTCAAAAGAATTACTGGTTTCACGTAAAACGTATTCAACATATTGAATTTGGATTCAATTGAGCTTTTAGAAAGAAAAAAAACACGGGTGTACGTTCAAGATTATCTCGCTTTTATTTATATGATCATTGTAGTACAATTTGTCGTATTAGTAGTAGAATACTATACATGTTATAACATGCTCGTTATATATTAATTTATATTTACTTTTTAGGAGTAGAATAGTATAATGTGGTTTATTCAGAATTCCCAATCTATAATTTAGCATCAGCAATTTTATGTATAGTTCCTTAAAAAAAAAGGTCTATAGTTTTGAATATAGTGATACATATTCCCGATTTATAATTACATTTTAGTATCTTGTGGTTTACTCCAAACTCCCGATTTATAATTTAACATCAACAATTCTATGCAGCAAACATTTTTTATTTTTCTTTAGCTAGATTTAACTAATATAGCCTATACGGAATTGGCTCCTCTACGTTTATAAAATACAGAATTTTGTTTAGATGTTTAATATCCGTTTTTTTTTTTGTTACCAAAATTGACGTAAGTCTATTTCTACTGTTTCCTCACTCCCCTTCCATTCTCTTCTTACATGATGCTCCGATTTTAGATACATGTGTTATTGATGATTCTCTCTGTTGACAGATTTAACTATTGCCAGATCATATTCTTTATGAAAATACAATTTAACATATTTTTATTTACTTAAATCCTAATATTTATGCAGTGGCGGATTCATGAATTTTTAAAGGAGGGGCAATATTTAAAAGGCTAAAAGTTCAAAACTTTTTTTTATTACAACAATAATTGTAATAGACGACGAATTCTTTTAAACAGTACTGTCTTATTTTACAAGATAACAATTTGTCGTAAAAGCATTGTATAGTAGAGTGTAAAAGTGTTGGAGCAGTCGAGTTCTAAACCATAAACCCTATATGAATAAAGAGAGAGCCAAAGCAGAAAAAAAATATATTAATAAAAGACATTTTATTAAAAAAAGGAAAAAGAAAAACATTACATCAAGACTTCAAGTTCCAACGCAAGGGATGATTATCATGGTTCACCGACCGTTTAGTTCCAACTTGGCCATGGCTTTTTCAAGTTTCTACGCAAGGCTGCTTTAGGTTTCTTTTCATTTTTTATTTTTTTTGGCCTTGCCCAAAACGCATCGTTTTCACCATAATTTTAAAAAAGAAAAAAAAGGATGTGCAGCGCATAGCACATCAAAGAAGAGGAAACAAAAGGTCATTCATGTATTTTTTCAAACAGTTGGTGTGCACCTCCAAGGCAGAGCAGAGGGCAACTTCTAGTGACTCCAAACTTTTTTTCGGGGAGGGGAGGTCTGCACCTGCTTGCACCTCTGTGGGTCTGCTATTGTATTCATGTATATGTGGGCTAGGTTAGTTGACCAAACTAGTGTGTCCGGTCCTTTGCACTTAATTTCAAACCCTTCCACGCACATTAGAAAGTAAAGTTTTTTTTTTTCTCATTTTTTAATAAGTATATAGACAACAATACTCCAGCTCTAACCGATTAGTAAAGTTACTCCACATTTTAATTTTATAATTCGATCGGTTCAATTTTTAGGTTCTTATTCGAAGATCATTCATACATAATTTCATCCAAATCGAAACACTTTTACGCACTTAATTAGTATCATAAACATTTCATTGTTTATTGAAAATTTTTGTTCGTCTATGTATTTTGATCCGTCAGATAACTAACGAAAGCATGTTGTTGAATACTAACATGCATATTAGATTGCATATGTATTTGATCCGTTAGATAACTAACGAAAGCATGTTGTTGAATACTAACATATGCATATTATATTGCACATGGATACCATATTAGAACATGAACACCCAACTTAAAACTGATTTGCTATAAATCAAAAGGCCTATAATCTTTGAAGCACTAATGCAAAGCTTCCATCCTCTCCAACTCATATCCATAATCACTTATAAGTCGTCCCACTCAGCTAAGTACTTAAAAGAAAGAGACAGTGAGCAACTCCTTTATAACAGTCATTAATTGGAGTTTAACCAACAACACATTTGTTACCCAACAATCTGCTTTAGTTTGGTGACCCGTAGAAAAAAGGCACACCCACGATCATCTTTAGATGAGTTTCTCTAGCTAGGTCATCCCCTTCCTCTAGCTCTCTCTCTCTTTGAATGGGTTTCAAAAGCAAATACTATCATTTTATTGTTCACTACTGTACTCCTCATCGTTTTATCAATAGATCCCTTTGCATAATGCCCTTCACCATTCTTCTTCAAAATTACCATGGCAAAAATTAATCTAGACCATAGGGATAGAACCTTCTTCATTCTGCAACACTTGGAAGTGTGAGGGTTTAAGTAAATAAAAACATGTGCCGTTCTAGTTATAAAGTGATGGTTAAACTCGAATTTCTAAATTGAGAGCCAAATGAGTTGAACTTTGGGGTATAGTTCAAAAGATGATGTTCATAAAAAATCAAAATCAAAATCAAAAATTTGAATGCGTGTTAGATGACATAATTGTGATGGAATTTCGATTTCTCTCAATTCAGAGCTCGGTTCCTAACAAATTCTATATGCTTGTAAAGCTAACTAGTCACTTCGTGTCAAATGCAAGGTACATGTTTATGAATTTTGTGAGGCGACAAGAAATCAGTGTGGAACACAAATTGACCA